CAGGTAGGCAGATAAAATAGATAAATACAAAATGACAGCCAATTTAACTGAGACTACGAAACAGCTTCTCGTTCAATACAATTAATATTTTTTGGGGAGTGGGTTATCTGCAGATGACTAAGGATTATGACAATGTTATAAACTTTTTTTTGTAGTTTTGTTTTTGTAGTAGTTATCAGAGTAAGCATTTCAATAAGCTGCAAAAAATGAAAATAACAAACAATGAGTTATATCTTCTAAGATCACTCCAGAAGCAAATCCACATTAATCAGAAATGTAGATCTTATGTCAAATACGGGCAAGAAATTGGCTGATTCTCTCCTTCTAAATCATTTTTCAATATAAACCCCTTCACTGACATACAATCTATAAAACCCACCACCCCCCATCAACAAATCCAAAGCACTGGATGGCTGTGAATTAGCCATAATGGATGATTGCAAATTCTTTGTTAAAAATCTGTTTCCACCAAGCAAGGTGGTGCACGACTGTAATCCCAGAAGCTCCAGAAGCTGGGGCAGGAGGATCACAAGTTTGAAGACAGTCTTAATAATTTAGTTAAGCCCTGAGCAACTCAATGAGACACTGTCTCAAAATAAAAAATAAAAAAGGGCTGGGAACTGGCTCAGTGGCTAAACGCCCCGGTTCAATCCCTAGTTCAAAAAAAAAAAAAAAAGAAGTTCTGTTTCATGATTACTCTCAAACAAATGAAACATCCCTAAGTCACTCAGACTTTAAGAATACCTCAACATCCCATTTATTAATTTTTTATTTTATTACTTGTGCTTTAGGAATCTTGTGAAAGAAGTCTGTTCCTAAGTCAATATGATGGAGAATTGGGCCTAAATTTTCTTTTAGTAGGTACAGGGTTTCTGGTCTAATGCCTAGGTCCGTTATCCACTTTGAGTTGATTTTTGTGCAGAGTGAGAGACAAGGATTCAATTTCATTCTACTACATATGGATTTCCAGTTTCCTCAGCACCATTTGTTGAAGATGCTATCTTTTCTCCAATGTAGCCTTTGTCTAGTGTGAGATAACTGTAGTTATGTGGGTTTCTCTCTGTCTTCTATTCTGTATCATTGATTTTCATGTCTATTTTGGTGCCAATACCATGCAATTTTTGTTACTATGGCCCTATAGTATAATTTAAGGTCTTGTATTATGATACCCCTGCTTTGCTTTTCTCTCTAAAGATTGCTTTGGCTATTCTGGGACTCTTTTTTTATTCAAATGCATTTTACGACTACTTTTTCTGTTTCTATAAAGAATGTCATAATTTTAATAGAAATTGCATTAAATCTGTATAGTGCTTTTGGTGGTATGGCCATTTTGACAATATTCTCCCTATCCAAGAACGCGGGAGATCATTCCGTCTTCTAAAGTCTTCTTCAATTTAGTTCTTTAGTGTTCTGTAATTTTCATTGTAGTGGTCTTTCACCTCTTTTGTTAGTCCCAAGCATTTTATTTTATTTTTTGAGGCTATAGGACAGTTTTCCTAATTTGTTTAAGCTGATTCATCATTGGTGACTAGGAATGCAACAGACTTATGGATGTTAATTTTATATCCTGTTACTGTCCTGAATTCATTTATGAGTTCTAGAAGCTTTCTGGTGGAGTTTTTGTTTGTTTGTTTGTTTGGGGGGGTCTTCTAAATATAGAATTATGTCATTAGCATATAGAAATACTTGGAGCTCTTCTTTTCCTATTCACATCCCTTTCAATTTGTGTCTTCCACCTAATTGCTTGGCTAGAGTTTCAAGGACTATGTTTAATCCAAGTGGTGAAAAAGGACATCCCTGTCTTGCTCCTGTTCTTAGAATGCTTTCAATTTTTCTTCATTTGGAATGATGTTCCCCTTGGATTTAGCATATATAGCTTTTACATTGTTGAGGTGTGTTCCTACTATCCCAATTTTTCTAGTGTTTTGAACATGAGGAGGTGCTGTATTTGTCAAATGCTGTTTCTGCATCTGTTGAGATAATGTGATCTCTCTCTTTAAGTCTATTGATGTGAGGTATTACATTTACTGATTTCAAATGCTTTTTTTGCATCTATTGACATAATGTGATTTCTCTCTTTAAGTCTATTGATGTGAGATATTACATTTATTGATTTTCATATGCTGAACCAATCTTGCATTCCTGGGATTAATCCCACTTGATCATGGTGCAGCATCTCTTTAATATGTTTTTGTATATGATTTGCCAGTATTTTAAGCTTCTTGACAACAAAGGAAAAAATCAAGAGCATGAAGAGAGAAAATCATTGCCACCTGCACCTCAGATAGAGCTATATATAAAGAACTCTAGGATATATAAAGAACTCAAAAAATTTAACATACAAAAAAACAAATATCCTAATCAATAAATGGGCAAAAGAACTGAACAGGCACTTCATAGAAGAAATAAGAATGGTCAAAGAATATATAAAAATGTTCAACATCTGTAGCAATTAGAGAAATGCCAATTAAAACTACACTGAGATCCCATATCTCACTCCAGTCAGAATGGCAACCATCAAGAATACAAATAACAATAAATGTTATTAAAGACGTGGGAGGAAAGGTTCAGTCATACATTGCTGGTGGGAATGCAGGAATGCAAATTGGTGCATCCACTATGGAAAGAAGTATGGGATTCCTCAGAAAATTTGAAATGGAACTACCATTTGATCCATTTATCCTACTCCTTGTTATATACCCCCAAAGACTTAAAATCAGTATACTACAGTGCCACAGCCACATTAATGTTTACAGCAGCTCAATTTACAATAGTTAAGCTATGGAACTAACTTAGGTACCCTACAACAGATGAAGGGATTAAGAAAATGTGATATATATACATAATGGAATATTACTCAGCCATAAAGAAGAATGGAAATTATGGTATTTGCTGGTAAATGGATGGAACTGGCGACTATCATGCTAAGTGAAATAAGCCAATCCCCAAAAACCAGAGCCAAATGTTCTCTCTGATATGCAGATGCACACACAATGAGTGGGGGAGAGGGAAGAATAGATTCATCCTTAACCCACTAGATTAGACACAAGTAGGAAGAACATGGCAGGCCACCAGCAACGATGGCCATAGGAGACCCACTGACCTTCAGCAGAGGGAGCAGCGCCAGGGTGCAAGCTTGGCACCATGACCCAGAAGCCCACCTTTGGCAAGCCTGAAGTAGAACTGCATGTCCACCTTGATGGGGCTGTCAAGCCTAAAACCATCTTATACTACAGTAGGAAGTAAGGGATTGCCCTCCCCAGCTAACAAAGCAGAGGAGCTACAGAACTTCATTAGCATCAATAAGCCACAGTCTCTAGCCAAGCTGGAGTATTACTTTTCTGTTATCACAGGCTTCAGAAAGGCCATAAAAAGAATCACCTACATGTTTGTGGAGATGAAGGCCAAAGAGGGCGTGGTGTAAGAAGAGGTGCGCTATAGCCCATACCTGGCTGGCCAACTCCAAAGTGGAACCAATTCCCTAGAACCAGACCAAAGGGGACCTCACCCCATATGAGGTAGTGGACATAGTAGACAAGGGCCTGAGGAGTGGGAGCAAGCCTTTGGGATCAAGGTGCAGTCCATCCTGTGCTGCATGTGCAGGTCCCTTGAAGTGGGGGAGCTGTGTAAGAAGTACCAGCAGCATACTGTGGTGGTCATCAACCTGGCTGGTGAAGAGATCAAAGGAAGCAGCTTCTTTCCAGGGCATGTGGAGGCCTACCAGGAGGTGGTAAAGAGCGGCATCCATCACACCGCCCATGCCAGGGAGGTAGGCTCTGCAGAGGTGGTGCAAGAGGCTATGGAGACATTCAAGTCCAAGAGGCTAGGACATGGCTACCATGCCCTGGAGGACAAGTAACTTTATAACAGGCTGTGGCAGGAAAACACTTGGAGGTCTGCCCTTGGTCTAGCTACCCGACAGGTGCCTGGAAGGCAAAAACCGAGCATGCAGTCATTGGGTTCAAGAATGACCAGGCCAATTACTCGCTCAACACAGATGACCTGCTCATCTTCAAGTCTACCCTGAACCCTGACTACCAGATGACGAAACAGAACATGGTCTTCATCAAGGAGGAATTTAAGTGAGTGAATATCAATGCAGCAAAGTCCAGCTTCCTCTCAGTAGATGAGAAGAAGGAGCTCCTTGACCAGCTCTACAGAGCCTATAAGATGCTTCTGGGCAGGACCCCTGATGATGGCAGGGCCATCTTCTGAGCTCTGTAGATGGATTCTTCACAACTCTGGGATCAAGCTACACTCTAACCTGTATTCCTTCCAGGAAGACAAAGATTTTTAAAGCTACTGATGCTCTCGAGACTACATAAACCACAGACCTTGGCATGGCCACATCTCTCCTCTGTTTATGTGCCCTGGGCAGGGACCAGGGCTCTGGCCAATGCCATGGATGATTCTGAAACCCTCCCCCTACAGCAATACTTGCTGAAAATCTGGTGCTCAATAAAGCAGCTGGTGGCTGGTAAAAAAATAAAAAGAAGGGAGGAGGGACGGGAATAGGAAAGACAGTAATGAATCAGGCATAACTTCCCTATGTACATATTTGAATATATAACCAGTGAAACTCCAAATCATGTACAACTGCAAAAATGGGATCCCAATTAAAATAAGTTATACTCAATGTATCCATAATATGTCAAAATATACTTTATTGTTATCTATATCTAAAAAGAATTAAAAAAAAGAATACCTCAGCAGACATTTTTAGAGTCTCAGGATAAAACAGAGTAAGTTATCTGTACAAACTGAATTAGGATCATATATTGATTGTATGCACTTTACCCTCCAACTGTTAATTAAGGTCATTCTTTGATGTCAGTCACCAAATATTAATTCAGAAGCCTGTGATTCGTATATAAATAAATCAGACAATTTTCCTTTTTAGCTATAGAATTACTACTAAATGTCTTAATACAAAGAAAAAAAAGCCCAATATGTTCTCTCAAAATAACATATACATAGAGCCAGGTACAAATTAAACTTACCACTTTTTTAAAATCATCTTCTGCTTCATCAAGTTTTCCTTGTTTAAGTAATAAGTGACCTCTCTGTAATCTTGCCTAGGGAAAAGAAAAAAAAAAAAAAAGAGAATTGTCCCGAGTACTATTCATTTCTAAACTTTCTTTAAAATACAAAGAATAAAACTCAGTAAGATAATGATGTAAATAATACTCTTCCAACGCTCATTTGACTTGGCACTAAAAATAATTCCTGGAATCAATGAATATATAAAATTTTTGTGAAAGTGTCCCTCCTTAAAAATACTTTTTTCTCACTGGGCGCAGTAACACACCTGTAATCCCAGCTACTTGGGGTGCCGAGACAGAAAGGACCACAAGTTCAAGGTCAATCTAGGCAACTTAGTGAGACCCTGTCTCAAAATAAAAAGGGCAGGAGATGTAACTCAGTGGTAGAGTACCCCTTGGTTCAGTTCCTAGAACCACAAAAAATAATACATTTTGCTCTATCCAAGAAAACTGAAAACATATTTCCACACAAAAACTTGTACATGAATATTCATAGATGTAAACTGAATTTTCCATCAGCTAATAAATCAATAAATACATTTGATACATCCAAGCAATGAATTATTTATTATTCAGTCATAAAAAGGAATGCCTGGGCTGGCGTATGGATCAGTGGTAGCATGCTCACCTAGCAAGTGCAAGGCCCTGGGTTGGATCCTCAGTACCACATAAAAATAAATGAAGGTATTGCGTCCAACTACAACTAAAAAATAAATATTTAAAAAAAAAAAAGGAATGCAGTGTTGATACATACTAAGACATGAAAGAACTTTGAAAACACCCTCATTTTTATGAAATATCCCAAAATAGGCAAATCCATGATAAGCTATTGCCAGGGACTAGGGTAGAAATGGGGAGTGATTGCAAATAGGTACAGAGTTTCTTCTGAGGGTGACAAAAGCATCCTGGAACTAGACAGTGATGATAATTACACAACTGTGAACATACTAAGAACCACTGAATACTTTAAAACACTGACTTTGATGGTATGTGATTTATATTCAATTTTTAAAAATACTTTCTGCCACTAATATGAAAGTTGTATTATTTTGAGATTTTATCAAAGATCCAGAAATGGATTTGCTTTATATTAACTCTCAATGCAAATATTTACTCTGCTATAACAAGAAGGACAGTGCCTCTCCTCTTTCATCTCTAATATTCCTCCTCTTCTAATGAGCATAATCTCATCTCTTCCAGTATCAACTCTCTGATGACCAATGTCTACCAGAAAACAGAAATCACCTTGATATTCCACTCATCAACTTTACAGTACATAAAATTTCCCTAATCCTCTGTCAAATACATCAATACATGTAAAAAGCAAAATTAAAGTTACTTCAACTAGCTAATAGCTAACACTAGGAAAATGAGCTACTTAATCTTTGTGAAACACTGTGCTTAGCTGTATAGAGTTAACAGATTCAATAAAAATTTGACACTTGAGAACTGCACCTTTAAAAAAATGAAAATATTTCAAACATTCACTTCATATATAATTGTTATCTCAAATCCTTTTTGAAGTATGGCAGGATATAAATACTAAATGGTCACCATATTAATTCTGAAACCATCTAATTGGTCATTGGTTCTATCTGTTCTGCTTCGGAAAGCACCAACTTGGTTCCATCCAGTGAGTTCCCTGTGCACACATCACAGCTCTTACAGTGACATACCAATCTTCACAGAATCACATTAGACTGTTAAGTTCTACAACTCGGAAGCTTGTGCCTTGGTTCCAGGGAGAGCCCTGCTAACTCCTCATGGTATCCTCACCAAAAACCACCACTTAACTGAACTTCCCTCTTTATTCTTTCTGCTACAGTCTTAACTGAAACTTGCCAGACAGATGACAGCCTCTTAATTCAGCCCCTTATTTCATGCCTCCCTCACATCTTCCTCTACATTCCATCTCCACACAAATTTGTGCTTCTAAACCACAAAGCTAATATTATTGTCAGGCCTCTTCCTGAGGGATTGAACACAGAGGTACTCTACCACTGAGCTCTATCCCCCAGTTCTTTTTATTTTATTTTTTATTTTAAGACAGGGTCTCACTGAGTAGGACAGGATGATCTCAAACTTGCAGTCCTTTTGCCTCAGCCTCCTTAGTAGGGATTAATTTGTGTTACTACTATATGTTTTATTTCTCCCTATGTTGCCCCGGCAGCCTTTCAATCTTGGGAATCACAAGATCCTCCTGCCTCAGCCTTCCAAGTTGGTCAGGACTAAAGGTACATGACACTATACCCAGAAATTCAAGGGATTTTGAATTTCTCTTTGTCCCCAGTAGTAGCTTTGATATGCTCTGGTTATGCCTAGCTTTCCAATTCTCACAATAAGAAACAATGACCAGAGGCTAGGGTTGTGGCTGTGTGGTAGAGCACTTGCCTACCATGTATGAGGCACTGGGTTCAAACCTCAGCACCACATAAAAATAAATAAGTACTGTTTCCATCTATAACTTAAAAAAAAAAAAGACCTCTTCCAAGTTCCTTAAGCTCCCCTTTAAACAAAGTGTAGATATACTTACTGCAGTGAAATCCATCTTCAATTCAATCACTTTAGTTAAATCAGGAAGTGCTGCTTTCGATTTTCCCATAGCTAAAAAGACTGTAGCTCTTCGATAGTATGCAATATAGTTATCAGGATCACCATCTGAAAATTAAAATAATATAATTAACTCTATTCAAAAAAATTAAATCACCTGAACAATATTAGAGTTTATAATGCTATTAAGAAAGGCATTAAGAAAATAATTTCTTCATCAAAAATGAGTCATGAAGGGGCTGGGGTTATAGCTTAGTAATAGAGCACATTCAAGGCCCTGGATTCCAACCCCAACACAACCTCCACCCAAGAGAAAAAAAAAAAAACAGCTGCAAGTTCCACCCCTGAAAGACTTATCATCTAGGAAATAGTATATTAGAAGGATGTATGTGGCAGGATAGTACATGATCATTTAAAATTATGGTTCTGAATAGTTATCAATGGCACTGAAAACTATGTGAAGTACTGCCAAGGTAAGGTGGGACAAGATGAGAGAATAACCTATAAACAATACCAAACATGAAAGGAGACATGTAAATGGCCAGTATGCACAGGAAAAGATGCTCACTACCACCAACCATTAGAGAAATGCAAATTAAAACCATATTGAGATACTACTTTACAACCATTAGATGCCTGTTATTAAAAAAGAAGATATAAATAACAGTTGAAAGCAGGATTCAAATATATATTTGTTCCTCTGTATTCACAGCAGTATTATTACAATAGCCCAAAACTGGAAACAACCCAAATATCCATCAATGGATGAATAAACAAAATGTGGTATATACATACAATGAATATTATTCAGTCTTACAGAGAAATGAAATTCTGATTTATGCTAAAACATGAATGAACTTTGAAAACATTATGCTAAGTGAAGTAAGCCAAGACAAAAAAGGTAAAATGTTTTATGATTCCACTTATGTGTGAGACTTATATTACTCAGATTCATAGAAAGTAGAATGATAGTTGACAGGGAATGGTGGAGAGGTCAGAAATGGGAAATTACTATTTAATAGGTACAGAATTTTAGTTTAGGATGACAAATCCTGGAGATGAATGGTGATAGTTGTGCAACAATGTGAACACACAATGCCACTGACCTATACAATCAAAAAATCACAAAATGGTAAATCTTGTTACAGGTATTTCATGCTAGAATAAAAAAGTAAAATAGTCTTTTTTGAAAAAAAGAATTTAGGAGTATCAACAATGAAAATGGATTTTCCTTAAATCTACAAACAAATTTCATATATGACCCCAGCTAAGTGTCCCTGAAATTTCTTTCCTGATCAATTTCCCTTGAAAGACTTAGAAAGAAGAGCAAAGCCAGCAGCCTGTGTATACAGTATTTCTTATAACATAAGAAATTAGCTTGAGGAAAGCAAAACAAAGTTACCATACTTAGAACATGCTTGATATAGAATATTTTCAATTCAGTTTATATTTTATTTGGAATGTGCAATAAATTAAAATTTCACAGATCTGGTCAGCATAACTGACCATAGTCGCACCTGAGAGCTACATGTCTAGGCAGCTATCTAGGCAGAGGTACCAGGTTTTCTTCTACTGTCCATATATTCCAAAATGTTTCACAATGAACACAGGTTACTTTTATATTCATTAACTATTAAAAAAACTCAGAGGCATTATAATAAAAAATAAACCATTAATATACTATTACAAGCCAAATTCTATTACATACTAATAGCAATTTCCTAATCACAGAAGTTAAAAGAAGTAAAGTATATCACCATATTCAGAAGTTGAAAAGTATAAACATTTTAGTGAATGTATAACCATCTCAGTGAGTGAATAAACATTCAATGAACTTTTTTGTAATCAAGCAATGCACTAATACATGGATGATATCACAAATAACTTATATTTTCAAAGCTCTGAAAAAGTTATTTTCTGATAAACACAAACACCTCAGAAGAGATCCAAAAGGCCAATATATATTCAGTATGTTTTAATATACTGAATATTCCCATCATATAAAGTTTAAACTTTATTTCCTATATTATGAATAATCCATGTTTTACATAAAATGATAAATGTTCTTGAACTGGTGTAGTTCCTCAGAGATTATATTGAATCACTGCTATTTGCCAAATCATAATAAAATAACATTCCTACTCAAATCTGGAATGTACTAACAGTATTTCAAATCCTCCTTTTTACTCAATTTTACCAATTACCACCTTTACTGTTTACATCTTTCAGTGAGTGGTATTTTACTGAGTATTTTGGAGAAGAGTCATCTCAAGGTCTTATATTGCATTGGTAAACCAAAAATAGTCACCTGGAATTACTTTAACAATATTCCATAGCCCCTGACATTTCTGCTAAATGTGAGACTTCAAAAGCATACTTTGAATTACACAAAGAGGAATAAAGGCAAGGCAGAGGGAATGGAAATAGAAAAGATAGTAGAATGAATCAGATATTATTACTTTCCTATGTGCAATTATGAATACATGACCAATGTAATTCCACATCATGTACAACCAGAAGAATGGGAAGTTCTACTGTTTATATGTACAATATGTCAAAATACATTCTACTGTCATTTATAACTAATAAGAATAAATAAAAATAAAATAAAATTTTAAAAAGCAGATCATAAAGTACATAATAGGTATTAAGTATAAATTTCTGCAAATATTCTAATAGCAATAGTTGTGTATTTTAAGAAATGCTTTTTTGAAGACAATAACTGAAAATAATTTAAATTACCATACTGCAGCTCTGATGACAGTGAATCACAAGAAAAAGTGCAGACTTAGTAGTGATGTGGTCATACAGTAAATGGCCCTTAGAGAAAAGTAACTTGTGCAAATTGTTATGCCAAGTAACTACTACCTATCAAGATAAGTTAATCCCTGAAATACAAAATTCCTAGTGGAAACTCCACATAGTTAAGAAAACTCTTAAGTACACATCAAATTCATATATAGAAGAGTCAATCTCTAGAGACAAAAAAAAAATTTAGACTTATTACTATATATTTTATATGTATGGTTATATCTTACTTCCAAAAAAACTTTATATTCATTATTCTCACCTAATCTTCACATAAATTCCTTTGGGTGGCACACTGAAAACCATTAGGAATCTGTAGCTAATTTATTTAGATCTAGACTGTCTTACACAATTGGACCAAGGTCACAGCATTATCAAATGATAAAGAAAAATATTAAAATGTATGTTTCCTATTATTCCAGAGAGCTAATTACATCAATAAAAATATAAGCTGAAGAAAATTATTGCCAGACCAATCCCTACCTGCTTTTTGTTTTTATAGTAAAATAACAATGAAATTATAATTCTCTGGAAGCACAAGTGTAACTTATGAAAAATAAACTACCTCCTTACCTGTTGAGTAGTTGACTAGTCTCTCTTAAACTATCACAAATCAAGAAGAAATGTACGAGTAAATAAAAAAGGGCTCTAAGGAAAGTCAATATCAAAAAATCCTCACATAAAAGTTTAGGCTCATAAGAAAACCCTTCAAGCCCTCACTTTTAACCTATTTATTGTCATCTCATTCTCAGTCCTAACAGATTAAAAGCTGCAATGACATCTGATGCTACAGACAGACACAAGTAAGCACAAAAAAGTAACAGCATCAAGAGTGGTTGGAATTTGACCAATACTGAAGAGTCAATGAACCACAGAATCTTCCAAGGGCATCAAAGTAATTACCATCCTGATAGCCCAAGACATCAAGAAAATTAAACTGTATTAGGTGAAGTCTGTGTAAGAAATCAGAAACGATTTAATACATTAAATATTCTGTCAAAATGTTGAGTTATTCTTGGTACTTATAGTAAATCTCATTACCTCTTATGTTGGATACATATGCTTTCAAGATTTATTAATCTATTTCATCCAGAATCCTGCAAATATCTTTAATGTTTTTTTTAACATGAAACAATCCTTATTTGAAATTTTATCCATAAAAAGAGCTACTAATTAGAATTCACTAAAACAGCCACTGAGTGATTTGGTTTATAATACAAACCTACTGCGGCATGAAATTGAGATAAAGCATCAGCTAGCTGTCCAGCTGCAAGTAATTTCTTGCCCAATTCAAGATGTTTCTCAACATCTGCATTTACTCCACATTCAGCACCTAAAAATAAATAAATAATCAGTTAATTTTCCATGAGCCAAATTTAATTCTCAAAAACAAAACTTATTTATCTGGCTTAGTCATCTACTGTTATGAGAAAAGCCACAGAAGCTAAAAATCCTAGAGAAAGGAACCATTAAACTCAAACAGCCCTTCATTTTATAAAAGAAGCCCCAAAATTTATCCATATCAACCTAACCAGTCAAAAGATTATAGCCAGTATACAAACTAAAATAATTGCCTAACACCCATAGTGAAAATATTTCAAATAAAATTAGAACTACTTTGTTAAGCTAGAATCTCATCTTAACATTCAAGTTACTGTGCATCTATAATGCACCAAACACTGTTCTAAGTACTTGGGATAAGTGTACCTGACTTTATGGTGGGAGGAGATGGACAATAATTAGTAAGTAAATAATGTCAGGTAAAAAGTACTTTGGAGGGCTGGAGGTATAGTTCAGTTGGTAGAATGCTTGCCTCACATGCATAAGGCTCTGGGTTCAATCCCCAGGACCACAAACACACACACACACAATAAATAGATAGATAGATAGATAGATAGACAGACAGACAGATAGATACTATGGAAAAAGTCAAGTGATCTGAGAGGATTGAGAGTGAGAGGGTGATGGGGCCAGACAGAGTAAATAAGGGGGTCAAGAGCAGGCATCCTTGAGAAGCTGACATCAAAGCGACTTAAAGTGAGGAACTCATCATGCAGAGATCTAGGAAAAAAGCTTTCCAAGAAGAACCAGCTAGTGTAAGAGCCCTAAGCCAGGAGAGCACAGACATGTTCCAGAAGCAGCAAGGAGGCCTGGACAACTGCAGCAGAGCCAACAGAGAGTGATATGAGGTCACAGAAATAGCGGGATTATTATGTAGAGTTTGGGATTTTTCTCTGGCTTAAAAAAAAAGGGGGGGGGGAAGGGTACTACTGAAGCATCTTGAATAGAATAACATGATCTGACTGACCAGGCCAGTTATCACAAATTTCCTCTCAACTCTGAATTCCTCCTTCAGCAGCTGCACTAAATTAATGGACTGGAGTTTTTAAGCATTTCTTGTTTTACACTGAGCACAATGTTATGTTCTGTCAGTAAAGGGCACTGAAGAGAACTGCAGGAAGGACACTTCCTGGTTCTGCTTGCTGCATTTTATTTTTTTCTGGCTCCTGCTACATGGTCTGTTATGCCACTTCTACTACATGGTATGTATGGGGAGGACATCCAGTGTTGCTCTACCCTAGCCAGAGGCCATGTGTCCAGAGGCCCAACCCCAGCAACCTGTCAGCCTTGGCCCAGGCACCTCATAACAAGGACACTGTACATTCTAGCTACACATACCCACAGCAGCTCCCAATCACCTCTACAAATAAACCAACTAGCTTTGGCTCACCTATACCTAACAGGGTTGTTTCCTATCTGCCCAGCTACTATGGCAACAACTCAGCCAATTTCCACCATTAACAAACTCAGGCTACTACTATACCTTATCCAATAAGGCCTGAATCCCAGCCTTGAGAAAGGGGCCCCTATTCCAAGTTGGCTCTTCCTTGGGTCTGTCAGCTCTGGAATATCTTTTAGCATTCTCTTTGCATCCTGTGTTACTCTCCTATCATATCTTAATAATTTTTTTACAGTAAGTCTTCCCTTTCATATTATTGTGTGCTTTGGCTCCTGAATGGACCCAAACTAATACACAGTTGGTATTGGAATTCCCAAGAGACAGACCCACAAAAGGCAATTTGAGGACTGAGTTGGAAGTACCCTTGGAACTTGACTTAGTTCTGAGCTCCTTGACAATGGAAAAGGAGATGTTGGTAATCCATTGTAAGTACTAGAATCACAATTAGGTCACCACTTATGGTTGATCATAACAAAGTGCTGAGACAGATGTCTTAGAAGGCCAAGTACCTGCCATACCTAACCATATGGCAGAAATGGTGAAAATAAAGACTGCAATGTGAGGTTGATTCTTCTGAATACTTTACTAAAACAGAGAAAAATAACAAATCTCAAGTCCTTATAAGCCTCTCTTCCTTGTCTGAGAAGACTAGCCTTTCAAACTACTATTTCAAAAACCATAAGACAATCTTATAGGGAAGAAGGCTGAAAAGGGGGACACATTATTCTCAAAACTGACCATAACTACTCCTATTATCTATAATTAGAGTCAAATCTCAGCAGGCTCTTGAGAGACCGATATATGCTATGATCCAAAGGACATAGCAAAAGTCTTTGCTGATAAACAAGTAGAACCCTACAGAACATGTATGAGAATGGATTCTAAAGGTGCTAGACCAAGAAAAGTGAAATGAAACACAATACTAGGTCTAACTCACTGATCAGTGCACACTTACTAGAGCAGAGGTCAGAAACTGTTTTTGTGAATAAAATTTTACTAGAACACAGTCATATCTATTAATGAATGGGCCATATTATCTTTGGCTGCTTTTATGCCACAACAACAAAGTTAGGTAGTTGTGACAAAACCCACGTGGCCTGTAAAATCTAAAATATTTATGATCTGATCCTATACTCAAGATCCTATATGGAATGTGTTAACTCATGCAGCTAGAGTTGGCTCTATCATTTACTTGGTAGGCTGACAGAAATTTGGATTAATAATGGTTTACATTTAATAAGGCAGAGATTCCAGAGTTTGCCTATCAAGAGGAAGGATCCAATTGCTGAGAAAGATAGGAATGTTGGACTAGATTTATCATTTGTCACCTACACACCAACCTCCAACCTTTGTTCCATGAAACAATCCAGAAGACACTCCCTTTATTAAAGCACTGAAAAACATATTGCTGAGAAACTATCTGCAACCTTTTTTTAAAAAAAAAGAGAGAGAGGAGAGAGAGAATTTTAATATTTATTTTTCAGTTTTTGGCGGACACAACATCATTGTTTATATGTGGTGCTGAGGATTGAACCCGGGCCGCACACATGCCAGGCGAGCGCGCTACCGCTTGAGCCACATCCCCAGCCCCCATCTGCAACCTTTTCAAAGCTCTATGGTTACTCCCATATATAACAGCTATGACTATGAAGGGATGCCACCACTGAGATGGGCTTCCTGATTTCAGGGGAATGATGGGATCCTGGAGTAGTAGAAGCTGAAGTACCAGTACTTAATTATCAGACACTAAGTGGACACATCAACTATAAAAGGCATCAGGTAGATAAAATGACATTGTCTATGCATATCACTCAACTTATACAAAGGACCCATGAATAAAATGGCCTTGGTGACAAAGATGGAAGCTTTGAATGAGTTCAAACCCATAAATTAGTCCTGACCAAAGCTGATCTTATTAAAGTTACTGCTGGTATGTAATCTGCCAACACCAGAGCACAACATTGGGTTCCCAATATGGCATCTCTGGTAGAGAGAGGGGAACATCCAGGGCAAGGGCTGACTTATTTTACCTAATTCTCTTCCATAATAGATTTCCTTCTCATATTTTTGATATGAATTTGCCTAAAATGCTTCTGCCAGCACACCATTCATAGACACCAAATGCATTATCCACCATCACAGTATTTCACACAGCACTATCTCATCAAAAAGCACATTTCACACCAAAGGAGGTATGCAGTGTGCACACTACACTTATGTGGTAAAACCAAGGGATTAACTGCTTTTACCACATACACACATTTCCTACGAATTGGAAGGTGAGACTGCCGCCTGGACATTTTGTATTCCCAGTGCCACTGAAACCTACAGGCAAAAAAAACTGCCCAATTCAACTGGTTTGAAAAATTGGTCCAGTTACCAAGGGGAAATGAGGTTGCTGGTAAACAGTAGAGGGAAAGCAGGCTAAGAGGAGGAACTCAAGAGATCCTTCAGGGCACATCTTAGTACTTGCATGCCCAATACTAATGGTCAATTTGAAAAACTACAGGAACCAAAAATCAGGCAGAACAATTAAGACTAAGACTCTTCAGTTAGGAAAGTTTGTGAGTTAGAAGAGTCAGAAGCAGAGATTCTAGCTAAAGGCAAGAGAAATACAGAACAGATAGTTCATGAAGGAAATCACAAATATCAAAAGACTTTGTGACCACTTACAGACACAAAGACTATAGTAGCTTTGCATATTTTCTCTTTGCTTGTTATACATGTGTGTTTATTTGCATAATCATCCCTCAACATTCAAAAGGAATTGGTTCCTAGACAACGACAACGACAATACCACCACCACCACCGCCACCACCACCACCACCTCTGTATATACCAAAATCCACACATATCTTAGTCCCTTATATAAAATGATATGGTAATTGCATATAACTTAAAAATATCCTCCGGTATATTTTAAATCATCTTTAGATCTGTAATTATAGAGCTTTACATCTATAATTCCTAATACAAAGTAAATGTTGTTAGTTGCTATACTTTTTCATTTAAAGAATGATGACAAGGAAAAATGTCTATAAGTCTTTGGAAGAGATGTTAATTTTTTTCCTGAATGTTTTATATTTATGGTTGGCAGAAACCACAGACACAGAGCCCATACTATATTAACTATATACCTACGGGCAGCCCTCTTCAGATTCTATTTGAATTCACCCACTTAATAAAATTCATTTGTACTCAAAGCACCTTTACAACGTGCACATGCAGGCAGTAAAAATCTTGAGCCAGCTGTTCCCAGCTAAAGTCAAACAAGCAACACTGCCTTGTTTCAGCTTTCCTATTATAAATAAAGGTCTTTTCCTTAGTGCAATTAGTGTCATTTTTTTGTGTTCATCTTGGTAATTTCATCACTTTTAAAAGGCTCCTAACCATAGTACTGAAGATCAATGTTAATGATTCAACACTATATTTTAAATAAGATTTATTTTAACAGAAATACACAGAAAACAAGGCTGTCCTAATCTGTGACAAAAATGTTGTGACCTGAGGCTTGCAATAACTTAACAATTTTATTTTCTCCTAAAAGTAATGCTTAGTTCAACACTTGTTCATTCAATGTTTGCAATGATTTC